TGAGTCTCCCTTAGGATGCTCCTTATAGGTAACTGTATGACTATCCTGGCCTCCTTAGAAAACGGATAGAAACTTGGATATCTCCCTTAGGAAGTATGGAGACATCTTTTTGGGAAACTTTTTGCCCACCCTGGGTCTCCCCGAGGATACTTCTTTGCATGCTACGTCTCTCTTGGGACGCTCTTTATGGCCAACTGTATGACTATCCAACCTCCTTTAAGAAACGGATAGAAACTTGGATACCTCCCTCATGAAGCATGGAAACCTTATTTTAGGAAATTCCTAGCGTATCCTGCATCTCTTTGAGGACGCTTCTTTGCTAGCTACTTCTCCCGAAAGACGCTGCTTATGGGAAACTCTTTTTTTGTTTTTTTGACATTCTGGAATGAGAAACTAAACTTTTATTGATGTTCATGAGATTACATCGCTTTATTCGAAATGAAAATAACTCAACAAAGAACCCGGAACTTCCAATAGTTGCTTCTCTTGTGCAATGCTCAGTCATCTGCTTAGAGCTAAGCCGGTAGTAAGAAGCGTCATGGATAATATCTTTAAAGGTGGCAGGCATTCCATTGTCGTGAAATTTCCTTTCCATCCATGGTGTCAAGCGTATAGCCCCCTTTACCTCCGGACCGGCTGATCTTCTTTTTGGACCCTCGTCTTTGTGTAGTGATGATGGTCTTTCTTAGCACAAGGTTGCCTCGTTGAAACTGTCTAATCTTGGCTTTTTTGTCGTAGTAAGACTTCAACCGCTGCTAATAAGAGGTGACTCGGACAATGGCATTCTCACGCTCACCTTCAAGTAAGTTAAGGTTGAGCCTCATCTGCTCAGCGTTCTGCTCAATACTGCCCATTTCAATGCCTATAAAGTATGAAGGGGACATTGACGTAAGGGAGAATGATTGCTTCAGTGCCACAGGCGAGGAAAAACTAGGTTTCGCCAATTGATCTTTACTTGGTGGTGCGATAAGCCCATAGTACTCCAAGGTGCTCATCTATCAATTTCCCATTGGCACCTTTTAATCTCTTATTTAGATAATCCAGTATTATTTTGTTGGATGCCTCGATCTGGCTATTGCCCTGAGGATATCTCAGGGTAGACAGATGTTGCTTGATGCCATATTTTTGAAAGAATGCGGTAATCTGCTTGCTGATGAATTGTGAGCCATTGTCGGTAACTAATGATTGTGGGCAGGCAAATCGATAGATGATTTTTTCCACATAAATCTTTCCACATCGACTTCTTTAGTAGATGACAGAGCTTCAGCCTCGATCCATTTAGTAAAGTAGTCAGTGACAATAATCATAATTTCTTTCTTGGCAGGTGTCGCTGACATGGGGCCTACTAAGTCGATAGCCCATTGCATGAAAGGCCACAAACTGTTCTGCTAATGGTAAATCTCGGCAGGCAGGTTAGGAACTAGATTGTACAGTTGGCAGTGATCACATCTTTTCACATATTTAGTGGAGTCATGGCACATGATAAGCCAAAAATATCTTATGTTTAGAGCCTTCTGGGCCAGTGACCCGCCCTTAGAGTGGTTGCCACACTCGCCGTCGTGAATTTTGCAAAGGACCTCAAGTGTTTGAGGATATGTTATGCAGGTGAGAAAAGGATCGGAGTATGATCTGCCAATGAGCTTGTAGCCTTGCATGCAGTAACTCGCAGCTTTCTGCTAGACCTTCATAGATTCGAACTTATCCGTTGGCAGATTTCTATTCATCAAGCAGTCAATGACGGGGTATGCTCGGCCATCAGGAATGGGATCTATTCCCTTTGATTGCTATTGGGGAGTAGCTATTCCCTTTCATTTTTGGTCTGCTCGACCATCAGGAACGGGATCTGCTTTCTCCTCTACTTGTTCTACTCCTTTCAAATCTGCCTAATTCACAGGGAGAAACTATGTTTGCTTACTTCTCTTCGGCCCTTGAACTGAGCATTTTCTCGTCATTTCCTGATCTTTGTTGATCTGGCTAACACTACCTCCAGGTACTGGGTAGCGGATTTTCTGATGTGTGGCGGAGGTAATGGCATAGATCTTGTCAATCCATGGTCAGCCAAGAATGTGGTTGTAGGGGGAGACTTCATCAATGACCATGAGTGTTTGCAAGCTGATTACAATTAGGGAATAGACGTCAAGATCTATCGTGCCAATGGTAACCGTTGTAGCGCCATTGAAGCCGATTAGTGACCTAACTTATTTATGAATCTTTGTCTCTAAGCCCAATTATAGGATATTGGCTACGCTGCCCTCTTCTTTATGGATTCGGTTGACCATGGCCTAAGTGATTTGAATGCTGATGACAATGGCGTATTTGTGTGGCAGATCAAGGCTGATTAGATCTTCTTCTTTTTTAAGCCAATCACGGGATCGTCTTCTGCCAGTTGGAGGTTAGTTAAGACTTAGGAGATCATAATGGCTTGTCTAATCTTCCTCTTCTTTTCCTTGCTGGTCACCCAGACTCCTCGAAATCAGCTAGGATTGTGTTAATCCTTATGACCTTATGGGGTGGCTCCTTGGCAGTATCGCAGTATCACAGTCCTCAATCTGTTGGGTGGCTCCTGTACAGTAACCTTCTCTCACGAGTTCTTCGAGGTGCGCTTTCCAAGCAAAGCAGTTATTCATTTTGTGCCCGTACGTCGCATGGAAGGCACAATATTTTCTGGTATCTCTGTTGTTCAGATCTCCCCTCAAGGATGTCAGTCTTTTTACCAAAGGCTTGTCCTTCAGTTGGGCTAAGATTTGATGTATAGGGATGAAGAACTTGGTGTAGTTCTCATTCGCCATAGCGTCTCCCTGTGGGCGCGACTTGTGTTTGTCTTTACTCCTGTTATTACGCATGTCGCTTCCTTGTCCTGCCCGCTTCGTTGGCTTATCTTCCTGTTTGATAAACTTCTTCGCAGCAATTTGATTGTCATCCAAGAGCGCGTAGCGTTCCGCGGTTGCAAACACCTTTGCCAGAGTATAGCAAGGAGTGATAGTCAGTTCGCGGTATAAGTCGTGTTCAGCTGGAAGACTTTTCTTGAAAACAAAGGATGTGATTCGATCATCACACCCTACAATGTTGGCTTTTTCTGCTTTGAATCTCTTAATGTAATCTCGAAGAGATTCATCGGGCTTCTTGTGCAAGTTGTACAGGTGGTCAGGGTTCTTCTTGATCATTCGGTAAGAAGTGTATTCTTTGGTGAAGACGTAAGCAAGCTCCTTGAAGCTTATGATCGACCCGAATGGTAGGGTGTAGAACCAGTCCTGAGCTGCTCATCGTAAAGTCATTGCAAACACCTTGCACATTAACGCATCTTCGGTCTTATAGAGGATCATAATGCTCTTGAAGTGCTTCAGATGGCTTTCGGGATTGAAATTCCCTTTGAAGTACATGAAAAAAGGCGTTGAGAATCGTTTCGGGGGAGCAGCCTGCTCAATCTCGGAGGTGAAAGGTGAGGAGTTTGCTCGATTTACCTCCATGCATAGTGCATCTTCGAAATTTCTTCCAATCCTGAAGTCTCAAAGTCGGTTACTTACAAGCTTCTCAACGTCTTCTGCACATATGGTTGGTCGATTATGTTGATGACCTTCACAATTTGGTTCGCAAGGGTCAACCTTTTTAGCTGTGCTGCCTAGGCGACGTGTTAGTGGATTGCGCTTGCGAGGGATTTCCTATAGCTTATTGATGGGAATTGGTTCTTCGGGAGCAGGCAGCAGAGCCCCTTTCTTCACAATCCTCATTATGACATCAAGTTGACCTCTCTGGGGGCCTAGCCTTTCATGAACATTTCCCTGCGGACCCAGACGGGCGTGGATGTCAAGTCGTGGGTGCAGCCTTTCTCACACATTGGTCCTTGAGCTCAATCTAGATGAGAGACCTCGTCTGCTCAGAGTGTGGTTTGCAGATGCTTGTGACATGTTAGTAGGCTGACCGCATTGTTATCCTTCTCCTTGTCTGCTTACTCTTACTCGACTTGTTTGGTACCCATCGGGGCCTTCGTCCATCATTCTCTTTTCGCCCTGTTGTCCAAGGCCAAGGTTTTGAGCCAAATTTATTTCGTTGAGCTCGCCTCATTAAATTGTTTTGATCGTCCATTCTCTGAGTTAGCTAGTTAACTCTCAGATTAAGGTCTACTTGACTTTGTGGACCGAAAGGAGAGAATTGTGTAAAGCCCAATTACACACGGGCTAGGGTTTCATTGGAGGTGTACGCGGGAGCGTGGGTCGAGCGTGGAGGCAATGGAAGGAATGACTAAAGTTGCTCCAAGATTGGCCCAAAGTTAGTGGTGATAGTGAGCCCACCCTGATGGGAGGTTCCACCATGCTTAGTGGTGGCGCTATAAAGGTGGCTAAATCCAACCACAGGCCTCGAGATGGTACGACTACAACAGAGGCCAGTGCGGTGGTCCCTGCTGCTAGTCCGGCAGGTGGCACGGTGGTTCCAGCTGAGGGGACTTGCTCTTATAGCGCAGCGACAGGTGTCAAGATGGTGTTCCTAGTAGCAGGACCGAGAGGAACATGAGTGATTGTGGCCATGATGTCGTGACGGTCTTGGCTGGATTATCTCATAACCACGGTGTCGTGGTGGTCCGAGCTTGTCGTGGATTAGGCCATCGCATCAGTCTTGCCCCTTGTTTTCTTGCTTCCAACCATGGTTGTTTGGAAGGCTTCAGTGGATTGGAAAATTGGAGGAACGAATTCCTTGAGCATGCGTTGAGTATAACTCGTGCTCTCAATGATAGCAATAAATGTTTGTGCAAATAATCTCACGGGAGAATATTCACTTCGATCTTTTGCCCTTTAATCTTTCTTCTCTATCTTCCTCGATTCCTGTAAAAAAAGCTAAAGTAAATATACCATACCCAGGGGGTGTTGGCCTAAGGCCCTTCGATGTCTAAGTTAGTTTGAGGGTTTGTAGGAAAACAATAGCTAACAAAAGGGTACGGAGATATATGCATGGTGTGAATCGGGCGGAAGGAGCCGTGTGTGGTGGCCAAAGCCGTGTGAAGAAAATATGGAGAGTGGAGAAGGAGAGAGCTTTGGGTATTTTCCTGGGGTTTTAGGAGTAGGTTTAGATGTACCTTGAATGATGAATGAAGTCATCTATTTATAGGAGTCTTGGAGTCTAGGGCTTCATAGAGAATAGAACTCTTATAGGAAGGAGTTTGTTCTTTACCAAAATTCATAAAGATTGAGTCCATTAGGGATTTGATTAGGATCCAAATCTCCTAATTTGATGATGATTATATTTCTTTATTATGATAATATCTGAATTAATGATATTACCTTATTAAATAAAGATAATATCCTATATAATCTTCTTTTCCACGTGGCGTGTTGTGGTAGGAAACGAAAGTATTTGCTCCCACACATACTACACTTCAACAAATCCAATCATTCAAGGAAAACCAAATAGCATAGTACGAATTTAGCACACATACAACGAATTTGGAATGCACCTAATGTTCACCATAAGAACGAGATGGACGGATTTGCTTCGCCGTGTGCTAGCGGACCCAAACCACTTGGGTTTTACCTCTGCCTCATTAATGTCAACTTGTTCAGATGCGATAAGGGTTTAGCCTTGAGTATGTATATCGGAGCTTAACTCACCACAAAGCCAAAAACCAACACGAGTTTACACAAAATAAATTGGGGCACTAGCGGGGACTACTGGTAATGATTTAGGAAGAAGGGACATCTAAGCAAATACGAGATAGTTTGTGGTCATTTTGGAATGACATATGTGGAAGTGGCTATTACTAAATAATTGTTTTTCAAGATGACCATTTTAGCCAGTTTTGCAATTATTTATATTTATATATATATATATATATATTTTTCATAAAAAACTAAAAACTAAAAGTACACCTAAGGTCTTCTCCAACTTACTTAGGGCTAAACCCAAATTTTTCCCCTCCAAAAAGTAACTATTTGGATTTTGCCTGGACTCATATCGTTTTTCCCCCCAACATTTTAGACTCAAATTTTAAGTTTGAAACTTTATTAAATTGTTTAAGAATAGTTTAAGTATTTTTTTTTTCATGGATTACTTTTCTTCATGTAATCTTTTTAATAACTTCATAATTTAACTTTTTTGAACAATTTGATTTAAAAAAATGAAATTCCATAAATATAATTTTATGTGAAAAATATGTGGGCATTTATAGAGTTTGGAGTGAGTTCTGGGATTAGATATGATTTAGATTAATTTAAAATATTATTTTAACCGTTGGATTTAAATTTCATCCTTTGAATCCTTTTTTTACCTTTAAAATAGATTGGATTTAATATAAATAGTTGATTTGGGTTATTGTTGGAATTATAAAAATAAAATAAAAAGTGTTGCGACACTAATGCGCTACTGCCTTGAGTGGGCTCCACCGAAAAGTTTTCTAGTCTAGGTATAGCTGGATTCGTAATTGGCCCCAATTTGGGGTTTTCCCAAATTTTAGCCCCTTATTTTTCTTGAGTTGAGAGAGGAATTGAGCTATAATTTGGGATATTTTGAGTTTTGCCTCATGGGTTGGAGATGGCCTTAGTGAGCTGATTATTTCACTCCCCTTTTCTCCACTCAGAGCACTTCCACCCATATGTCATGGCAAAGGGTAAAGACAAGGTAATGGTTGTTACTATTTACGTGAATAGTGGCAGCCCTTGCAAAAAGCTTGTGGTGTTTCTACCTATTGCCATGACAACCACTATTCATATGAGATATGAATAGAGGAATTTGTATAGAGATTTAGTGTGGGAAGTGAAGAATATGACTAAGTACTTATTTAAAAAAATTCTTTAATTTTTAATTTTTTAATAGATTTTTTAAAATTTTTTTCATTGCTGACGTCAGCAAACTCAGGCTATTCTTGCCTTCGGGCCTGCCTAGGCTTGTGGAGTCTACGAGCTGCCCGGCTGTAGAAGCCCGCTGGAACCTCAAATAGGAGCTTGGGCCCCCTATTGCCCTGGCTTGGGGGCACCGCTAGTGCTTTTACACTCCATTTTTCTTTTTCATAATTTTTAATCAATTTTGTTCTTTTTTTTCTTTCTCTACCCTTCTCCTACATTAATTTCTTTTTACCTCACTTTTATATTACATTAAGTATAAAGAAGAAGTTGGAAACTTAAGTATAAAGAAAAAGAAATAATATAAAAGTGAAGTAAAAAGAAATTAATATAAGGTTAGGGTATAGGAAAGAGAAAAAAAAAAGAACAAAATTGATTAAAAAGTTTTTCAAAAAACAAAAGAGATTGTAAATGAAGAAAATTAGAGTGAAAAAATCAGCTCACTTTCTTTAATGTTTTGTTTTTGTTTTCGTTTAAAAATAATAATTTTATGACTTAACACTCTGAAATTGTGGTGAAGTGGCTGGACATGTGTCAAAGTATTAGATAGGGGATAGAAATGGTAAAGGGAAAATGGGGACAGAAGATCTGAAGTCATATAATAATTTTTTTTTTTGGGTGATAATTAGTGATACGAGGCATTGTGGAGAGGGCACTTTACATGGGATTCGAATCGGTGAGTAAGGGGGAAGGGGAGGAGAGAAACTCTCATGTATAGGGATAACTTATCCACCCCTCGGTCACAACCTTTTTGATTTTGGACGAATTCTCTCACCACCTTATCTCCAATCAAAATCCAGCAGCCCTCTACTTCCCTCATCATTGCATTGCATTGCATTAGATATTCTTCAGCAAGATAGTTTTGATACCGTACACAGAAGCGGCCACAGACCCCAGTCACAGGGAAAATGGGGACCCTTCTCAGGGTTGAGTGCTTCTCCTTCCCAAGAACTCTCCCACTCCGTAATCGTTTACTTCCCAATAGAAATCCATCTGTCTCAGCCCTAAGAACAAGCCCACCTCCTGGTAATCCCCTTAATCAAATATATGTAATGTAACTTTTGAAACGCTTTCGTTTGGCAGTTTTTGTATGTCATGGGTTTTAGTTTTAATTTTAATTTTTTTTTAATTGCAGTGAGTGAACTTGCAGAAGAGGACACTCTGCAGGCGTTCTTTAAGGAAAGACAGTTGAATGGAGACCTTGTATCAAAAGTTTCGGATGTGTTTTGGCAGAAGGAATTTACGAAATCTGTTGTTGATGCTGATGATGTTGGCCGATTTGCTGACATTCCTCAACCAGCAGAGCAGGTACAGGACAACAAAGCTCTTTCATGCTTTCTTCACTGTAATTTAATGAATCAAGCTGCTTAGGATTAGTAAATATTCCAAATTTGTAGTTGATATGCTTGAGTGTTGGGATTTAATGAATCAAACAATGAAGATAGTGGTCTTCTTTTTGGTCAAACATAGCAATTCTGAATTCTAAATATGGGTTCAAATTTATGTCCAATATGTGGTCCTAGCAAATGGGTTTCCTCAAAGCTTCCAGTACGTGGCTCTTGCAAAAGGGTTTCATTAACTGAGTTTGATAGCTTCATACTGGTGCTTTTAGTTTCTTTAGTTACAAAAGCAAAAGTTTTTATG